AGCGTTGGTTCAGCTGGATGCCCTGCTGAGAGGAGCGTTGCTTCAGCTGGATGCCCTGCTGAGAGGAGCGTTGCTTCAGCTGGATGCCCTGCTGAGAGGAGCGTTGGTTCAGCTGGATGCCCTGCTGAGAGGAGCGTTGCTTCAGCTGGATGCCCTGCTGAGAGGAGCGTTGCTTCAGCTGGATGCCCTGCTGAGAGGAGCGTTGCTTCAGCTGGATGCCCTGCTGAGAAGAGCGTTGGTTCAGCTGGATGCCCTGCTGAGAGGAGCGTTGCTTCAGCTGGATGCCCTGCTGAGAGGAGCGTTGCTTCAGCTGGATGCCCTGCTGAGAGGAACGTTGCTTCAGCTGGATGCCCTGCTGAGAGGAACGTTGCTTCAGCTGGATGCCCTGCTGAGAGGAACGTTGCTTCAGCTGGATGCCCTGCTGAGAGGAGCGTTGCTTCAGCTGGATGCCCTGCTGAGAGGAACGTTGCTTCAGCTGGATGCCCTGCTGAGAGGAGCGTTGCTTCAGCTGGATGCCCTGCTGAGAGGAACGTTGCTTCAGCTGCATGCCCTGCTGAGAGGAGCGTTGCTTCAGCTGGATGCCCTGCTGAGAGGAACGTTGCTTCAGCTGGATGCCCTGCTGAGAGGAGCGTTGCTTCAGCTGCATGCCCTGCTGAGAGGAGCGTTGCTTCAGCTGGATGCCCTGCTGAGAGGAACGTTGCTTCAGCTGGATGCCCTGCTGAGAGGAGCGTTGGTTCAGCTGGATGCCCTGCTGAGAGGAACGTTGCTTCAGCTGGATGCCCTGCTGAGAGGAACGTTGCTTCAGCTGGATGCCCTGCTGAGAGGAGCGTTGCTTCAGCTGCATGCCCTGCTGAGAGGAGCGTTGCTACAGCTGGATGCCCTGCTGAGAGGAACGTTGCTTCAGCTGGATGCCCTGCTGAGAGGAACGTTGCTTCAGCTGGATGCCCTGCTGAGAGGAGCGTTGCTTCAGCTGCATGCCCTGCTGAGAGGAGCGTTGCTTCAGCTGGATGCCCTGCTGAGAGGAAACGTTGCTTCAGCTGGATGCCCTGCTGAGAGGAGCGTTGGTTCAGCTGGATGCCCTGCTGAGAGGAGCGTTGCTTCAGCTGGATGCCCTGCTGAGAGGAGCGTTGCTTCAGCTGGATGCCCTGCTGAGAGGAACGTTGCTTCAGCTGGATGCCCTGCTGAGAGAACGTTGCTTCAGCTGGATGCCCTGCTGAGAGGAGCGTTGGTTCAGCTGGATGCCCTGCTGAGAGGAGCGTTGCTTCAGCTGGATGCCCTGCTGAGAGGAGCGTTGGTTCAGCTGGATACCCTGCTGAGAGGAGCGTTGCTTCAGCTGGATGCCCTGCTGAGAGGAACGTTGCTTCAGCTGGATGCCCTGCTGAGAGGAACGTTGCTTCAGCTGGATGCCCTGCTGAGAGGAACGTTGCTTCAGCTGGGATGCCCTGCTGAGAGGAGCGTTGCTTCAGCTGGATGCCCTGCTGAGAGGAACGTTGCTTCAGCTGGATGCCCTGCTGAGAGGAACGTTGCTTCAGCTGGATGCCCTGCTGAGAGGAGCGTTGCTTCAGCTGGATGCCCTGCTGAGAGAGCGTTGCTTCAGCTGGATGCCTGCTGAGAGGAGCGTTTGCTTCAGCTGGATGCCCTGCTGAGAGGAGCGTTGCTTCAGCTGGATGCCCTGCTGAGAGGAGCGTTGGTTCAGCTGGATGCCCTGCTGAGAGGAGCGTTGGTTCAGCTGGATGCCCTGCTGAGAGGAGCGTTGCTTCAGCTGGATGCCCTGCTGAGAGGAGCGTTGCTTCAGCTGGATGCCCTGCTGAGAGGAGCGTTGCTTCAGCTGGATGCCCTGCTGAGAGTGAGTTCCGACCCCTAACATCCAAAAATACTCAAAACAGCAAACCGCCACGATGGGATCACCATCTATACCTGCGTGTCGTCTCTGACTAACATCTACATCGGCCACAGTTTTGGGCAACATGTGGTATGAATGCCACACGATATCCCAAAGAATTGGGAATGTTAAAATGTAAATTTAACCCCAGTTTTTATATGTAAAGTAATAACATAAAAGTAACTACAATATAATAATTAATAATAATAATAAAATATTAATCTTTAGTTCTACAAGTATAGCTGATACAGACATAGATGACACCATAGACATACAGTATAGAAAACCCTTGGTTATTCAGCACATTCCAGACAACCTCGGTTATTCTTGTTTCGCAGGATGTGACCCACAACAATCAGCTAACACCCAGGTGCTTGCTTACTGTTAGTTGAACAGGAAAAGCAACCAGGTGCTTGCTTACTGTTAGTTGAACAGGAACAGCAACCAGGTGCTTGCTTACTGTTAGTTGAACAGGAAAAGCAACCAGGTGCTTGCTTACTGTTAGTTGAACAGGAACAGCAACCAGGTACTTGCTTACTGTTAGTTGAACAGGAACAGCAACCAGGGGGCTTGCTTACTGTTAGTTGAACAGGAACAGCAACCAGGTGCTTGCTTTCTGTTAGTTGAACAGGAACAGCAACCAGTACTTGCTTACTGTTAGTTGAACAGGAACAGCAACCAGGGACTTGCTTACTGTTAGTTGAACAGGACAGCAACCAGGTACTTGCTTACTGTTAGTTGAACAGGAACAGCAACCAGGTACTTGCTTACTGTTAGTTGAACAGGAACAGCAACCAGGTACTTGCTTACTGTTAGTTGAACAGGGACAGCAACCAGGTACTTGCTTACTGTTAGTTGAACAGGAACAGCAACCATGTACTTGCTTACTGTTAGTTGAACAGGAACAGCAACCAGGTACTTGCTTACTGTTAGTTGAACAGGGACAGCAACCAGGTACTTGCTTACTGTTAGTTGAACAGGAACAGCAACCAGGTACTTGCTTACTGTTAGTTGAACAGGGGCAACAACCAGGTACTTGCTTACTGTTAGTTGAACAGGAGCAACAACCAGGTACTTGCTTACTGTTAGTTGAACAGGGGCAACAACCAGGTACTTGCTTACTGTTAGTTGAACAGGAGCAACAACCAGGTACTTGCTTACTGTTAGTTGAACAGGGGCAACAACCAGGTACTTGCTTACTGTTAGTTTTAACAGGAGCACAACCAGGTACTTGCATACTGTTAGTTGAACAGTCGTAACAACCAGGTACTTGCTCCAAATGTTATTGAACAGGAACAGCAACCAGGAACTTGCTTACTGTTAGTTGAACAGGGACAGCAACCAGGTACTTGCTTACTGTTAGTTGAACAGGAACAGCAACCAGGTACTTGCTTACTGTTAGTTGAACAGGGGCAACAACCAGGTACTTGCTTTCTGTTAGTTGAACAGGAACAGCAACCAGGTACTTGCTTACTGTTAGTTGAACAGGAACAGCAACCAGGTACTTGCTTACTGTTAGTTGAACAGGGGCAGCAACCAGGTACTGGCTTACTGTTAGTTTGAACAGGAACAGCAACCAGGTACTTGCTTACTGTTAGTTGAACAGGAACAGCAACCAGGTACTTGCTTACTGTTAGTTGAACAGGAACAGCAACCAGGTACTTGCTTACTGTTAGTTGAACAGGAGCAACAACCAGGTACTTGCTTACTGTTAGTTGAACAGGAACAGCAACCAGGTACTTGCTTACTGTTAGTTGAACAGGAACAGCAACCAGGTACTTGCTTACTGTTAGTTGAACAGGAACAGCAACCAGGTACTTGCTTACTGTTAGTTGAACAGGGGCAACAACCAGGTACTTGCTTACTGTTAGTTGAACAGGAACAACAACCAGGTACTTGCTTACTGTTAGTTGAACAGGGGCAACAACAAGGTACTTGCTTACTGTTAGTTGAACAGGAACAACAACCAGGTACTTGCTTACTGTTAGTTGAACAGGGGCAACAACCGGGTACTTGCTTACTGTTAGTTGAACAGGAGCAAGAGCCAGGTACTTGCTTACTGTTAGTTGAACAGGAGCAAAAACCGGGTACTTGCTTACTGTTAGTTGAACAGGAGCAACAACCAGGTACTTGCTTACTGTTAGTTGAACAGGAGCAACAACCGGGTACTTGCTTACTGTTAGTTGAACAGGAGCAACAACCATGTACTTGCTTACTGTTAGTTGAACAGGAGCAACAACCAGGTACTTGCTTACTGTTAGTTGAACAGGAGCAACAACCGGGTACTTGCTTACTGTTAGTTGAACAGGAGCAACAACCAGGTACTTACTTACTGTTAGTTGAACAGGGGCAACATCCAGGTACTTGCTTACTGTTAGTTGAACAGGGGCAACATCCAGGTACTTGTTTACTCTTAGTTGAACAGGAGCAAAAACCGGGTACTTGCTTACTGTTAGTTGAACATGAGCAACAACCAGGTACTTGCTTACTGTTAGTTGAACAGGAGCAACAACCAGGTACTTGCTTACTGTTAGTTGAACAGGAGCAACATCCAGGTACTTACTTACTGTTAGTTGAACAGGGGCAACATCCAGGTACTTGCTTACTGTTAGTTGAACAGGGGCAACATCCAGGTACTTGCTTACTGTTAGTTGACAGGGGCAACATCCAGGTACTTACTTACTGTTAGTTGAACAGGGGCAACATCCAGGTACTTACTTACTGTTAGTTGAACAGGGGCAACAACCAGGTACTTGCTTACTGTTAGTTGAACAGGGGCAACAGGAGTAATAAAACATTCCCAAAATTTCAGCTGTGGCAGGGAGTGATCCCGGACCCTCAGCTTGTGAGTTGTATACAAAACAATGTAAACAAGAGAGAAAGTGAGTTAGGATTAGGAAGAGTATATGCAGAAGATGTTAATTAAATAATATGGAGACAATCCCTGACATAGATCTTTGTTATGAGATAATCCGTTTAGTAGCTCTCTCCGTTTACTAGGGACTGTGGGATGATATGTAGGTTTGGTATGACAGGCTACGTCGTCTGACTCATGCTTTGCTGAGAAGCTCTGAGTAAATACAAAAGAAACTTAGAAAAAATTATTTAAGAAACTAACCTACTATGGGCGCGGGACGGAAACCAAGGCAGAGTTGCCAATAGTCTGGGCAGCAGTCTGCGTTGATGGTTCTGTTGCAGAACTGGTCACAGTAACACAACGTCCCACGAATGGGCATGGAACAGTCGTCGTACCTCCCATCACAGCAGGATTCAGGACGTCTAGAATAGAAATAAAAATATAGATACCGACTGAGATGTAACTTTGATAACAAATACAAATGAGCAGGATATTCTCAAGTAATTCGTAGGTCAATATTAGTGATGTAGGAAAAATTAAAACAAGTATCTCATTAATACTAATCTACATGGGTATTAAGAAGCAATGTTTTTTAATAGCGTGATGGGAATATATGTACTAAAATATTTTAAATAAAACCAGAAAATAAATCTACATATATGTAACAGATATAAATTCAGAAACCCAAACTGCAGACTCAGGTAATAACCATCCATAAACTGTGCCATCAACTACAGTTGCAGCAGTAATGATGCCCACAAGTGGAAACAGTATTAAGCAGTGTAATGAAAATTGTGTATATTACTATTAAAAAGATAATTTTGACCTTTAATTATCTGAGTTATTGTGAAAGGAAGCTGGATGTTGTAGCAGTGAGTGAATATACACATGTTTCTTGCACGACTTCTTTGTATAAACCATCTTGGAGGGTCAAGTTTTTTAATTATTCCATAATGATGGTGTTTTTCTGTTGTAAGAGTTCTGGGCAACAAAGTTCACGTGTACATATAAACAGTCAGGCAAAAAATTGGCCCGGTGGCCTGGTGGCTAAAGCTCCCGCTTCATACACGGAGGGCCCGGGTTCGATTCCCGGCGGGTGGAAACATTTCGACACGTTTCCTTACACCTGTTGTCCTGTTCACCTAGCAGCAAATAGGTACCTGGGTGTTAGTCGACTGGTGTGGGTCGCATCCTGGGGGACAAGATTAAGAACCACAATGGAAATAAGTTAGACAGTCCTCGATGACGCACTGACTTTCTTGGGTTATCCTGGGTGGCTAACCCTCCGGGGTTAAAAATCCGAACGAAATCTTATCTTATCTCTTATCTTATCTTACCTGACAGAAAGATTATAAAACGTAGAAAAAAACACATCAGCATCGCTGAACAATTCAAGATGGTCATCCAGAAAGATTTATGCTTAGAACCAATAAGAAAAAACACTTTCGATCTTTTATCCAAACATGTGAAATTTATTACTGAAAATACAAAAAAAATCTGAATATATAAAATTCCTTACAAAAATATTTGATACAAAGGTGAGACAGAGGGAGCTTCTCCGGAGCTAATGTGTGTGACATAGAAAGTAGGTTAGACAATATTATGTCAGGTTATGGAAACAACCCCATTATGTTTCAAAGTGTTGGAAGAAATCATATTGTGAAATGCAGGAGGAAGGAGTTGCTAGTCAAGTACAAAACAGTTGTAGATTTAATTAAGTAATAAGAAGGGATCTCAGTCATATGTAGCATTTTGCTTAGAAAAAGAATGGACAGTGAACGACTGCATAGATTTGGTGTACATTGTTTGCCTGACAAATATTTGAACATAAGAACATAAGAAAGAAGGAACACTGCAACAGGCCTACTGACCCATGCGGAGCAGGTCCATGTCCCCTCCCCACGGATTAGACCAATGACCCACCCACCGGATTATCCCAATGACCCACCCACTGGATTATCCCAATGACCCACCCACCGGATTATCCCAATGACCCACCCAGTCTGGTCATCCCCATTGTAAGGAACTTCCTGTATTTCTGTTGAAGATTTCTATGGGGAAACATTTATGCAAGAACTTGGTAGCACCTCTGTTGGAACAGTGGTGGTAGCACCTCTGTTGGAACAGTGGTGGTAGCACCTCTGTTGGAACAGTGGTGGTAGCATCTCTGATGGAACAGGGGTGGTAGCATCTCTGATGGAACAGGGGTGGCCGCATCTCTCTTGGAACAAGGGTGGTAGCATCTCTGTTGGAACAGGGGCGGTAGCATCTCTCTTGGAACAGAGGTGGTAGCATCTCTGTTGGAACAGTGGTGGTAGCATCTCTGTTGGAACAGTGGTGGTAGCATCTCTGTTGGAACAGGGGTGGCAGCATCTCTCTTGCAACAGGGGTGGTAGCATCTCTCTTGCAACAGGGGTGGTAGCATCTCTCTTGCAACAGGGGTGGTAGCATCTCTTGCAACAGGGGTGGTAGCATCTCTCTTGCAACAGGGGTGGCAGCATCTCTCTTGCAACAGGGGTGGTAGCATCTCTCTTGCAACAGGGGTGGTAGCATCTCTCTTGCAACAGGGGTGGTAGCATCTCTTGCAACAGGGGTGGTAGCATCTCTCTTGCAACAGGGGTGGTAGCATCTCTCTTGCAACAGGGGTGGTAGCATCTCTCTTGCAACAGGGGGGGTAGCATCTCTCTTGCAACAGGGGTGGTAGCATCTCTCTTGCAACAGGGGTGGTAGCATCTCTATTGCAACAGGGGTGGTAGCATCTCTCTTGCAACAGGGGTGGAGGCATCTCTCTTGCAACAGGGGTGGCAGCATCTCTTGCAACGGGGTGGTAGCATCTCTCTTGCAACAGGGGTGGTAGCATCTCTCTTGCAACAGGGGTGGTAGCATCTCTCTTGCAACAGGGGTGGTAGCATCTCTCTTGCAACAGGGGTGGTAGCATCTCTCTTGCAACAGAGGTGGCAGCATCTCTCTTGCAACAGGGGTGGAAGCATCTCTCTTGCAACAGGGGTGGTTGGTATCATCTCTTGCAATAGGGGTGGTAGAATCTCTCTTGCAACAGGGGTGGTAGCATCTCTTGCAACAGGGGTGGTAGCATCTCTTGCAACAGGGGTGGTAGCATCTCTCTTGCAACAGGGGTGGCAGCATCTCTTGCAATAGGGGTGGTAGCATCTCTCTTGCAACAGGGGTGGCAGCATCTCTTGCAACAGGGGTGGCAGCATCTCTTGCAACGGGGTGGTAGCATCTCTCTTGCAACAGGGGTGGTAGCATCTCTCTTGCAACAGGGGTGGCAGCATCTCTTGCAATAGGGGTGGTAGCATCTCTCTTGCAACAGGGGTGGCAGCATCTCTTGCAACAGGGGTGGCAGCATCTCTTGCAACGGGGTGGTAGCATCTCTCTTGCAACAGGGGTGGTAGCATCTCTCTTGCAACAGGGGTGGTAGCATCTCTCTTGCAACAGGGGTGGTAGCATCTCTCTTGCAACAGGGGTGGTAGCATCTCTCTTGCAACAGAGGTGGCAGCATCTCTCTTGCAACAGGGGTGGAAGCATCTCTCTTGCAACAGGGGTGGTTGGTATCATCTCTTGCAATAGGGGTGGTAGCATCTCTCTTGCAACAGGGGTGGTAGCATCTCTTGCAACAGGGGTGGTAGCATCTCTTGCAACAGGGGTGGTAGCATCTCTCTTGCAACAGGGGTGGCAGCATCTCTTGCAATAGGGGTGGTAGCATCTCTCTTGCAACAGGGGTGGTAGCATCTCTTGCAATAGGGGTGGTAGCATCTCTCTTGCAACAGGGGTGGTAGCATCTCTTGCAACAGGGGTGGCAGCATTTCTCTTGCAACAGGGGTGGCAGCATCTCTTTTGCAACAGGGGTGGTAGCATCTCTTGCAATAGGGGTGGTAGCATCTCTCTTGCAACAGGGGTGATAGCATCTCTTGCAACAGGGGTGGCAGCATCTCTCTTGCAACAGGGGTGGTAGCATCTCTTGCAACAGGGGTGGCAGCATCTCTCTTGCAACAGGGGTGGTAGCATCTCTTGCAACAGGGGTGGCAGCATCTCTCTTGCAACAGGGGTGGCAGCATCTCTCTTGCAACAGGGGTGGTAGCATCTCTTGCTACAGGGGTGGTAGCATCTCTTGCAACAGGGGTTGTAGCATCTCTTGCAACAGGGGTGGTAGCATCTCTTGCAATAGGGGTGGTAGCATCTCTCTTGCAACAGGGGTTGTAGCATCTCTTGCAACAGGGGTGGTAGCATCTCTTGCAACAGGGGTGGTAGCATCTCTTGCAACAGGGGTGGCAGCATCTCTCTTGCAACAGGGGTGGCAGCATCTCTCTTGCAACAGGGGTGGTAGCATCTCTCTTGCAACAGGGGTGGCAGCATCTCTCTTGCAACAGGGGTGGTAGCATCTCTTGCAACAGGGGTGGCAGCATCTCTTGCAACAGGGGTGGCAGCATCTCTTGCAACAGGGGTGGCAGCATCTCTTGCAACAGGGGTGGCAGCATCTCTTGCAACAGGGGTGCAGCATCTCTTGCAACAGGGGTGGCAGCATCTCTTGCAACAGGGGTGGCAGCATCTCTTGCAACAGGGGTGGCAGCATCTCTTGCAACAGGGGTGGCAGCATCTCTTGCAACAGGGGTGGCAGCATCTCTTGCAACAGGGGTGGCAGCATCTCTTGCAACAGGGGTGGCAGCATCTCTTGCAACAGGGGTGGCAGCATCTCTTGCAACAGGGGTGGTAACATCTCTTGCAACAGGGGTGGTAGCATCTTGCAACAAGGGTGGTAGCATCTTGCAACAAGGGTGGTAGCATCTTGCAACAAGGGTGGTAGCATCTTGCAACAAGGGTGGTAGCATCTTGCAACAAGGGTGGTAGCATCTTGCAACAAGGGTGGTAGCATCTTGCAACAAGGATGGTAGCATCTTGCAACAAGGGTGGTAGCATCTTGCAACAAGGGTGGTAGCATCTTGCAACAAGGGTGGTAGCATCTTGCAACAAGGGTGGTAGCATCTTGCAACAGGGGTGGTAGCATCTTGCAACAAGGGTGGTAGCATCTTGCAACAAGGATGGTAGCATCTTGCAACAAGGGTGGTAGCATCTTGCAACAGGGGTGGTAGCATCTTGCAACAAGGGTGGTAGCATCTTGCAACAAGGATGGTAGCATCTTGCAACAAGGGTGGTAGCATCTTGCAACAGGGGTGGTAGCATCTTGCAACAAGGGTGGTAGCATCTTGCAACAAGGATGGTAGCATCTTGCAACAAGGGTGGTAGCATCTTGCAACAGGGGTGGTAGCATCTTGCAACAAGGGTGGTAGCATCTTGCAACAAGGATGGTAGCATCTTGCAACAAGGGTGGTAGCATCTTGCAACAGGGGTGGTAGCATCTTGCAACAAGGGTGGTAGCATCTTGCAACAAGGGTGGTAGCATCTT